TCATATTTATGCATTGAGGACAATGTAATATTTAGTTAGGGGGAGAGTTACTTTGAATACTATTATGATTATCGTGGATTTTTGTTGATTTGTCATGATGGGTTAATTTTTTTCTTTAAGTCTCTGATTTGCTGCATGATTGTGTTTTTGAAGGACAAAATGTGCCACTAGGAGTTAATTTTGTTCATGAGAATCTAGATGTCATAACACTAGCTGAATTCTTTTTGTGTACACAAGCCTTGTGGTAAGATGGTAATTTAACACTTGTAACTAGAGCAGTCTCTTGCTGAAGTTTTCTTGTGAGAGAATTGGTGAGGATTGAGAGCCACTATATACTAAAAATGGCAATAAGCACTCATTGGTCTTGTGAATTGGAAACTCTTTTGAGAATAACACTATATGGTTTGTGGTAAGATGGTGGATTATTTGAGAAATGATGAAAGTCAATTTAGGACTGACATATGAGCCTTTCGACTTTTTTTCCAAAAATTATAACCCCTAGTCGCCACTTACTTGTAAATTGAAAACTCCTTTGTGAATAACACTACATGGTTTGTGGTAAGATGGTGGATTATTTGGGAAATGATAAAGGTCAATTTAGGACTGACACTTGAGCCTTCAACCTTTCTTTTCAATACCCCTAGTAGCCACTTTGAGTCATACACATATATAGCCTTTTCTTCATGCAAATATATTGTCCATACTTCTCCACATTGGAATACAACCTTTACGCATATTTTTCCTCCTTTTTACTTCAAAGTGTGTAGTACGTATTTGATGTTTATTTGTAAAGAATTGAAGCAAGGAAAATGACAAGAATTGATATGTGCTCAAGTAAGGCGGCCCAAAAAGAAAAAAAAAAGAAAAAGAAATAAAAACATATATATATGTTTGATTTTGGGGCTTGAAATATTGAGGAATATGCTGATTGAAAGGTGTGATAAATTGAAATGTATGATAAGATACTTAGCTATGTGCTTGAAAGTTTTGAATCCTGATATCTCTCTTTTCGTATAGCCCAACTTGAACTTTATTACAACCTTTTGCATTGACCATTTTGATCCCAAGTAGGATTATGGAATGAATAGATGAATTCTCATTTAACGATATGCCTATCATGATATCAATGTTTGCTTGTTACTTGTTCATAAATATTTAAGCCTCCAATTTTGAGTGTACATCTTTCTCAACACCATAGAGAGAAATCCCGTACTAAACACTTTGATATCCGTGAGTTATGGAGCTGAACCTTTAACTTGAGACATACTTGATGTTACTTGTGTTAAGGTTGGCGGTAAAATGGCTATGACTTGACACACACTCACATCTTTGGCATGTGTTTTTGATATCCTGATGATCATAACATTGTTAATTTTTGTTTTTTTGTTTTTTGTGGTGTTAAATTTAAAAAGAGCATGAACTGTGGTTAAATTAGAACTTGATAATTTAACTTGCAATATTGACTAGTTTTTGATCATTTTATTTTGCATTAAATTGCTAGAGACGTGTACATGCAACTTACCATTTTCTACACCCTCATCTCACACGTTTCTCTACAATATACCAACCTTCTATGATTGCCTATGTATAACATGATAGAATAGACACAAAAAGAATATATCCGTACATTCACGACACAAAAGCAGAGGCAGAAAAAGGAATTGTTGGAACGTGATTTTTGTTTTGTCTTCCAAAATTAAAGCAAGTTAACAAAGTAGGAAACGACATGCAATTGATTTTTCCCGTTTAAATTATTTTTCTTTCAAGTTGATGAAAATTTATACTTATGAAAGTTAAATATATGATATGATATTCTATGATATGATGATATGACCATTCCGGTACAAATGATATGATATGAGCTCTTACCGGTTTCTAAAGATATGATGACGGTATAATTTTTTTTGATGTATGATTTAAATATTTTATACGGGATTGCACCATATGTTTAAATTCCTACTGAGTATTCCCATGCACTCACCATTTTCCCTATTCCTTACAGGTTAGAACGGGTCGTTGGTTGGTGGGGCGATGAGGAGCAGTCATCGTGTTAAGATTCAATAAATTAAATCCAGTGTAAGGAGACTAAATTTCATTCCAGCAATAACTTTAGTCTTATTATTCTATGTTCTTTCATTTAACATTTTGAAATACTACTTATTTGGTTATAAATTTCAGTTGTGTTAAATTATATTGGTAAAATCAGCATTTTATCATTTATCTAATAATTGTGATACGCATGACTTTTAGCATTTATTTGGAATTTCCATGAACTGAAAATTTAGGACACGTCTGTACCTTCGTTTGTTGAGCCCATATGTGATATTGCTTATGTTGGTTTAATTAATGTAATTAGGTGGGCCATAAATTAATTATGAGAAAGTGGGTTAGAAATCAAATTTCATAAGTTTTCCTTCCACTATACGTGTAAAATTATGCTTATGTTCATATTGTAAAATGACTTCTATTTGATCTTCATAAAATTATAAGAAATTTTTTTGTCATGTTAAAAATTATTAATGAAACTTTTAATAGCGATTACATTTTCTGGTATTCACTTGATACCCAGTTAAGGATCATTTTCTGAGGCATTGATAGCTTGGCATTTGCTTCCTTATTAGATTTTTGCATCTTCTTTAGCTGGTTGGCTTCAACCCCCCAGCCTCCAAAGCTTGTTGCAGGCTAGCAAAACTCAAAGTCTAGCCACCTCAGAGTAAAATACTTTTTGGAAGGCACATGCACTGACAACTGTATGGGTCAGAATAGCTCCAAGTCAGATTTGTAGACGCCCTAATCAACTCCACCACCCTTTTTCTTGTAAGCCTCCTTCTCAACACCACCTTTCTTGGCCTCTCCTATGCCGGTCCTTTGAACTTTGGTGGCGGGAGCAAAATCTTCAAGTACAATGGCCAAGGGCGGATCCAGCACCCGGCTAGCCCCCGCGGCCGCCCATGCTGGATCCGCCGGAGCAATTTTTTTTTTGATGATAAATAAAATTTCAGGTTATATTACTGAAATTCATATCATTTCCAAACATGTTCTGTAGCTCAGTTGGTTAGAGGTAACATGTTTATGTTTTTGGTCCCGGGTTCGAATCCCTTCCCAGGTAACTTATTTGAAAAATGTTTTTGATTATACTATTTTACTAAAATTAATGCAATATGGGAGCCTGGGAGGGGCTGGATGGTTTTCGAACCTGTGATCTCGTGCTAAGGTAAAGAAGACTTGACCATTATGGCACTTTTTAGTTTTGACACTAACTTCAACAAAATAATATATGTTAGGTTGATCTCGGTTTTAATGCAATTATAATACTTGAACTCGTAATCTTTCATTTGAATTATGGAAACTTGGCCACAATGTCATTTAGTAAATACTATTTTTTCTAACATAATTATAATATTTAATATATTTAATTAGTTAACTTACTTTAATTTATTGCTTTTTTTATTTTGTTTCAATATTTTTTCTTTGACTAATTTATGAAGTAAATTTTTTGTGAATTTCTGAAGTAGAGAAATTGTGAATTAGTTAATTGATAAATTTAGGAATTTGTTAATTTGGGAATTTGTGAATTGAAAGTTTTTGAAATTTGTTAATTGGGGAATTTAGAAATTTGTGATTTGTGATAAATTTGTGTTGAAAATGTGAAATTGAAACTACAAGTGGCAAGTGCAAGTGCTGAAAGAGCATTCTCTATTATGAATATAATCAAGAATGACTTACGCAACAAAATGAGGATGACTGGTTGAATGAGAATTTGGTAGTGTATATTGAGCGAGAAGTTTTTTTAAAAACTTGATAATGANATTATATTTTCATATTATATCATTCATACGCTTAGTGAATTTATATATTAATCGAACAATTTTTAATATTATTTAATTTAAAATTAATAATCAATATTGTCATTCATGTCGTTACGGTCAACGATCAATGATCGTCGGCCGCCCGTGCTCAACTTCAGGGCTATATACGCCCCTGACAATGGCCCCATTAGGAAATACAGCCAGTGCATGCCGTGAGACCTCTTCTTTGGCAGCCTTTCTTTGTGCATTGACATCAATTTCCTTTAGTCGCTCCACTTCCTCAATAGTAGCATCAATAGCTTTGAGGAGAAGCTAAATTTTTTGGGAGCTTGGGCCCCTGGTAGCCTTAGGGGCCAGCCTAGTTTTCTTTGAAGAGGCTCATCTTACCTCCTCAAGAGCATCCGATACATTTACACCCTCTACTGCTGCCTTTTGCTCCTCCGCCGGCATCCTCCTCCCTCTAAGCGTCCTTGGTTAGCTCCAAGTGCATATGTTATATATGTTGAGAGGAGTGGAGGCAAAATTTGTTGACGTGCTGAGTCCCAATCATGTCCGGGTATCAACATTGTCCATTATTATCCAAATGAATCAAACACGTACAAGCGACAAGCTTAATTAAGCTAGACATAAATTTTCTACTCTTATTTGCATAGTATAAATTGTGTTGCTAAAACTGCAATTTTCTAGAACTGTACAGTATTACAAAATCAAAAAGGTTAAATAAAAACTACAGAGAAAATTATAAAAACTGCCATAAAAGGACTATATGATAGCCCTTTTAAAAAATTAAAAGACAATAAAAAAGAGGAAAATTTTCAACCTGTACACAGTGAAATAGAAAGAAAAAAATAATGGTGCTGGTAGATCAAAATAGTTATCATACACCAAAGAAAGAAAAGAAAAAGGAAAAAATGCAACTATTTTAATATTATTGCCATCTTCTTGAAATCTTGCTCGATAAATTCGTTCCACTGGCAGATTTTCGCAACTCTGAAAGAACAAATATGAGTTTACGTTAATAAAAGGAAAAAATGCTCATCATATTCATGAATAACAACAGAGTTTAAATATAATGCAGCATAATCAATTCGTACCAGTTTGTCCCTTGAGAGAATCCTTCGTCGATTTTACCAGGGGTCGTTGAAATCTAGCTGCTGATTTAGGTCTGAAAGAAATCATCACACAAGATTACATGACAAAATCAAATTCTATTAATACGTATCTACACATTCTTTAATTTTCCTTCTAAGTTTGAGGAAACATTGAAATCTGACACTTGATAAAATTACAATCATCTCAAATTTAATAACACCACACCATATTTCTGGTGTGTATGCAGCCACTAACAAGGTTCAAAAACAACCATAAGAAACGTGCACGTGTTGTGTTTTCGCAGCTACAAATGATATTCAGACAATTATAATAGAATCATGTTTTAAGAAGATATCTCATTTATAAGAGTCTGTTTAGGATAGCTTTTGCTGCTGTTTCTGTTTCTTTTTCTATTTTTTGCAGTAAAGCTCCCCGAGGAAGCCAGCCATCGTGGACCAACTTCCTCTCAAAGTTCTTCTAATTAGACCCAACACTTCCCAGAAAATTACAAAACAAGCCAAAAAGCAATTTCTTAGTCTCAAAGCAACTTTTGGCTTTTTAAAAGCATGCCAAACAGGCCCTAAGGGTTCAAGAGAAACCAAACAAACTTGTATGATGACGATTTATTTCATGGTACTTACTTATCAGTATTCTCAGCTTTTTTTGCTTCCTCTGGATAAAGACTGAATTCTTCAATTTCTGTTCCCACAGAAAGAACACTATCAGATATATCACCATGCCTCTCTTCATTATCTGCATCGCCGTATCCTAAGATCTCAGCATCTGCAGAGAAATTCCGACCTATATTCTCTCCAGCAGTATTTGATCGCCGAGGAAAATCTTTCTGAAAACTATTTATGGAATGCTTATCTCTACCTTCAGAGTAGTTTTCCTCATCAGAAGCTGCTTTTTTCAATCCTTTCAATATTTTTAAGCTTCTCTGAGGAGTCCCACCCGTGGAATTTTTGCTTGGAGAAGTAGATCCGTACCTCATCGAGTGGGACACATTTTTGAGATCTTTTAGCAGCTGCAGCCTCTCGATCTCCTCGTCCTTTTTAGCTATGGTGTCCTTAAGAGATGCAACCTGCAGAGACGGAGCTTAATTTTTAGTTTAAAAGAAGTAAAAGTTACTTTTAAGCTTCTTTTTTGCCAACAGTAGATGCTAATCTCATTGTGGTTTTCAGGTGTTTTAAACGTCTTACCAGAATATCGCAAAAATTGAGAACATATATAAAGAGTTATGCATGGAAATTGAGTACCTGTTCCATCAATTCTCTGACATCCCGGCCATCTTTGCTGCTCTTGGCGGCACCAAGCTCAACGCCAGAAACTCTTTCCGCAAATTTTAAGGTACTTATGGTTTCATTGCACGAAGTAACTTCAGGATTAAGCTGTACAAACATAAGCGTCTTTGCATGGCCACCTGCGCCACATTATAAGCAAAAGTCAGTTAATTAATGCAACAATCCAAAAATAAGATAAATCCATATTCATTGAATTTACTTGCCTCTCTAAGTTTTCATTTCCTTTTCCATAGAAAAATAAAAAATAAAAAATCACCGCATATAAAATTTTCAAATTATTATAAAATGAAAAAGAACAATAACAACGACATCACCCAGAGTCTAGTTCCACTTATTCAGTTCATACTAACGCAAATTTCATTAACGACATAGTTGTATTCAGTTTAGTGCATATCGTCAGTAGTTTGTTAAACCTTATTGATTGTGTATAATATAATTTTTGATTCTGCACGATTGGATCGTTGAAATCCGAGAAAAGGAAAAAAGCAAGAAATATAGATAGCTATGGTTCAAGGGATTTTTGAGGTGTACATTAACACTAAGCTATGGTTCTGGCTGATTATAAAAGAGAGGGAAGATTCTGTAGACTTGGTAATTTCTTAGAATAATCAAGATAAAGTATGGAGCCTCGTAAAAGAAGAGTGACATGTTTGGTAGGGACGATATTATAGCTCTCCATAGTATTAACAAAAAAGAGACCAAGATATTGTTAATTGTATTGTCTAGTATCACGTATCAAACATGCACAAAGTTTACCTAATGAACTTTGAAGGACTTGAGTAAGCTTGCTGTTTCTATATGGAACATGAGCATTTTTTTGTGCCAATGCCGAGATGACATCTCCAAGGGCAGATAAAGATTTGTTTATATGTTGTGCCTCTTTCAGTCTGTCTCCCGTTACCTCAGAACGGTTAACTCTTTCACTTCCTGCAAGGTCTACTAAATGAAGACTGCCACGCGAAGAAGAACCGCTCTTGTGATCCAGGGCACGGACATGAATGGTTACAATACTATATACATGTGTCTTAGTCATTAGCTAAGCATTAAACAACAAAGTAACACTTAACGAAAAGATAACTATTTATGTTTTTGGTAGAATACCTGTGTGATCTACTGCTTCTTTCATTTAAGGCAGTTGAACTACTAGCTCGATTTTTTAGTCCAATATCCATCAGTTCCAGCACATCAGAGGGCGAGTTGACGATCTGAATGCAAGCATCTGGAACGGCTAACCCATTGGGTTGGGATGTAGACACAATCCCAAGTGTGTGCAAATCAAGAAAAACAAATTTTTACATTGAAGAGTAAATTAGAAAAATAAAAAGCATTCCACTACCATATAAGAAAATTGTGTATGGCCTTTGATTAAAAAAAACCCTTGCCTCTATAGGTAGGGGCATGTTGAAGACCAAATCTAAAATATAAATTTGTTTCCTAAAAGCTTAAGCTTTTAGATAAGACAACAATTAATATAGTAAAAATATGAGAAACGTTAGAAAATGAAGTCTTCAGAATAAAATTATAACAGTGATGGAGGCGAAGAGGAGTATCGATATATTGGCAAGAACGTTAAAAAAATTGAAAAATATGAAATGACTGCATAAAGGATATCTTTTTTGTGAACCGTCACTTGAGAGCAAATCACGGACTTGTTCATTGTATATTTCTATCATTTGGACAGAAATTTCATATGTATAGGTAGTCTTCCTAACTTCTGAGATGCGGAAAAGATCGTTCAAAGCTCTGTAATTGACCCCCCAATCTTTTTCGGTTGCTCCATCAGGACCAGTCTGGAGAAAGACATCGTTAATTTCAGAAATGCTATGCAAATTGAAGATATGTAACATAATATATACATGAAAACATAGATACACAAGCAAACTCTTTTTCGTACCATGGTGTAGGTTTTCCCTGAACCAGTCTGACCATATGCAAATATACATACATTATATCCATCCAAAACTGATTGTATCAAGGGTTGTGTATCCACAAAAACCTCCGCTGCCAATATTTGAAATATCATATAAGCAACCAAAAGGCAAATAAAGACAGATCAAAGAAAAATAAGTAACTTATATTGAGCATATTCAGAAAAAAAAGCAGCATTTAATAAGCTGGGACCTACAAATTGTGTGGACCATCCAGACAGTTTGTAGGTCCCCAGCTTATAAGATAGCAACTTTTTTTGCCAGACATGCTGATTAATCGTGCTTGCTTCCCTTGGCTTTTCAAACTCACAAGCTGTCAAACATCAAATTTTATCCAGACATCCAGTATGTGGACATCTCGTAAGACCCATAGGTTTTATCTACTTCTTATTCGCACATCTTGTATGATCCATAACTTACAATAATCTAGAAAAAGCTTTACAAACATACTAATAGTATCACATGACAACAAAAATAAAGTCAAACCTTGTGTTGCTGTTGGACCATACACTTTGTTGAACTTAAACGAACGATGGCCTTCTTTCCCTTGCTTGGAAGGATTTAAAACAACTAGCTCACCATTTTCACCAATGTATTCAATGATTGACTGTTTCCCTGCCTGCCCAGGTAAGAACGGCCTTATCCGGCAATAGACCCTAATGTTTCCTATGCAAAACACAACACAAGGGTAATATTGCAAAATGAATTTATTCATGTTCGTGAAACTGGTCTAGATTTAACAATATGCCGTACCTTTTAGTTCTTGAAGTTCATTATGTAGCTTTCGGTTTTCAGCAAGAAGTGAATAATAGCTTTTGGATGCTTCTTCCAAAGCCTTCATTCTCATCCCTGTAATAAAAAGATAATATTTTTAAACTAATTATAACATAACCACTGCAAATTAGATATGTTTGTGCTGGTTTAATATCTAATTTTTGACAAATAAATTAAATAGTTTTTCAAGAAGCGGATTTCACCTAAATGGGCGAATTCCTCCGAATAGCTCTTCTGTATTCTAACAACCTCTTGCCGGATTGATTGAGACGTCGTCCTCAGTTCCTGAAAATTTTTATTTGTCCATATCAAGATAATATGTTAAGGTACAGTACATGCTATAAAGAAATTATTACATCGAGAGGAAATTGTAGTAATATAATCATGGCATACACGTAGTGCACCAAGCTGGAATTCCGTAAATTTATGGTAACCGTGTTCTTTCTTATTCCACCATTCGGATTTTGATTCAGAAGATGCTTCAAGTAGTCTAACTTTATTTCTCGACTCGGTTAGAAGGTTCCCAAATTCCTTCAACCTCTCCTGAAGCTCTTGGTGAGATCTTGTAGATTCTGTGTCCATTTGTAAACATTTCTGTTCATATGTTTTCCTAGCTATTTCCAGTTCTTGCTTGAAGACCGCAATCTCTTTATTGTGATCATCCTTCTCTTTCATCAATTTTATTGCATCTTGCTGCTCGACTTTCTTTCTCTCTTCTATCTTGCTCTTCTCACTCTGTGGTGTTGAAGTTAGGGAACAAAAAGAAACAATCACTGTAAATTGACACAGGGAGAGACTCCACATGAATAATGGAGTGAAATCAAAATCCCATTCAAATAGTGAAAACCTATAGCATAACCAGCATCCATCGTGATGGTGAAGACTAAATTTAAATACATATGTTTCCTTTCTCTATCTCGTCTACATCAGATTAAGCTTTTAGATGAAATTGTTTAATATGGTATCTCAAAGGTCCTAAGTTCAAATCCCCCTGCCACCCATTTAGGAAAAATTGTGTGTCAGACCTTCGATTAAAAAATGAATTGGGACAGCACCTAAGGAGACGTGTTGAAGCTAAATTTAACTGAATAAATGTGTAACCTCCATAATAGCTTAAGCTTTTAGTCAGTAGGTTCGTATAACTGCAGACATTAGGCAATGATCATATATTGGTTTTTATAAAATATTAAGGTGTTCAATCAAGGAGAACATAAGTTCGTGAAAAAAGCATTCAAGCATAAAATCTTCAGCATTGCTCATGTATTTGGTAATTATCAGATCTCTTATTCACATGTGCAAGTTTTAATAAACAGCGGAGCTTAAAGATATCTAAGGATATTTTTCACCCCGAAATTAAGGCTCAAACATAAACAGGCAGAAGGCATGAGCGAATAAGATTTAGGAACAAGAAAACAAAAGGATTGTACCTTAATATGCTGGAGCTGATTCATAACTATCTGCTTAAAAAAAAAAAAAAAGAAGCCGCACTTGACATGTAGGAATGATGAGATTCGGAGAGAACACACACACACACACACACACACACAAAAAGAAAAGATTGCTCCTATGAAATGGGAAATTCTTAGTACCTGTGTCTCTTCACCAGTCCCTGTTGCAAGGGCTTCAAGAACTCTAATTCTTGATTGGTATTTGTCCTCACGAGCCTTAAAAAGATTGTTTTGCTGCAGAAAAAGAGGAAAAAATCGACTCGTTAAGTTGGCGAATATTACAATCCATAACAAAACCCTGCATAGTACAATACCGTTCTCAGGTGCTCTGCTTGAGTAGATATTCGTCGCTCAATCTCCTGCACAACTTTTCTCAATAGGCAAGCAACGCGCTGAGAATATTATCCAACCACAACATGTTAGAGCTTGTCGGATTGTGTAAAATCAATAACAAATAGAATTCTTTGGTTTTTATGAACAGGAGCCTTGTTATCATACATGAGGTATTTCCCCATTCTTCCGTTCAATGCTTTCGTCTAGAATACTATTCACAACACTTAAAAGTGACTGAGTTGGGGCATTCTGCACAGGATATAAAAAAATTGAACAAGTTAAAGGAGAACAAGTATGAATTTTCTGCACAAAAATATGTAATAGTCAGGTCAATAGTGTCTGTCCATTGTCATGAACATGAGTTAGTAGACTCACATCCAAACTGTTTGATTTCATCATTTCTGAAAGCTTTCCGGGAGAAAGATCTGTATAAGATCCGTGTTTGAGCTGAAAAACTTCATGAAACTTGTGTCCGATGTGATTTATAAGTGCAGCTGATGGCTCTACATACCAAAATATAAATAAATAAAATGTTTACATGTAAGTAAATAAGTTCCAAAGTAACTAAATAGTTAAAGTCGAATTTAAGTTGCTTATTTTTTCAATAAGATTATTGTTAGTTTCAAAATAAGTAACTTTTCTTTACAACTAAATAAAAAATAACATGCCCAAATATTTTTAGAAACAAATAGTTGAACAACAGAAACTTTTACGATTTTTTAGAGAAGCAGCACCTGCCATTGTGGGACTACGTACTGCGCGCTGGAAATTTGAGTCTGACAATACTACCGTTCGCCTCTCTTCAGAAGTTGGCGAAGAAACAGAGAGTGATCGAAAAGGAACTTCCCTTGTAGAACCCTCACGACTGCCTACACGTTCTCCTATCAGTTTCCATCTTTTACTGGCATCACTTCTATTATATCTCCCAACATTTGGCGTAAATTGCGTTTGAAGAGTTAAAAGACAGTCCATCACAATTTTCATAGATCCCTATACAATGTGAGAGTATCGCAAGTTTACTTTGGACCGACATACGTAATACTTCAAATGTTATGTGCAACATATGAACTTAATTGTATCAATGCTAATTACCTTTTCCAGATCCGCTGCTTGGAATCTCGGCAGCCCCATTTCGTCCATAGCAGACAAAAACTTTTGAACATTTTCCAAGTGTGAATATGAAGAATGACCAGAACCATTAAACTAGAACAGAAAATTCAAGAAAGATTAATATAGACTCATTACCCTTTATTTAAAGCCTATTATGGGTAGCAAGACAAATTAAACACTAAACTACCTCAGTCACAGAACCAGGTTTTAGTTTGTTCAGAATTCGACACAGAACAGTGCCATCAACCAAGAATCCTCGTAATTCCTTGTCTGAAGCATTTATTGGCAAACTTAAATCCGGAAGAATGCTGTTTAACCATTCTACTAAAGCTGCCCTCTGCTCTGCTGTAGAAGCAAAAAAAAAAAAAATTGGTGTAAGGGATGGAAAAGCCTCAGTCGACAGTGCTATAAGCATCAAATGGGGGAAAAAAACATTTTGCACTGTCGGCCTCACCATTACTCGAACTGGGTTCAAAAATGTCGCCACTATTGGATAAACTTGAATTGTTGAATCTAACATGGTCTTTTACTTGATGATCCATAGCGCAACTCGGTATAGCACATCAACTGCAATGCCTCAGATTCAAATATATGTATACACATCATGGTAATATAGTTTTTATATCCAACGACAAATAAAAAAGGTGTGTTATCTAAGGGCGAAGCTCAAAAAGGGCCTGGATGTAAGAAATTCAATACATAGTTATATACATAACAAGCAGAAAAACCGTAAAGTTTTGGATAAATTAAATTGTAATCTTCCATTTCTGTTAAAAGAACAATCGTCTAAATATGTGACTTTGTGACTTCATCTCTGTGTCTTACCACAATGTGCTCTGATAAATATACCGAGTTCACAAAAAAATAGACAGAGACATATAATGTCATACATAACATATGCAACAACAAACCTGGGATTCAGTCATAGGAGATTGAAAATCCAACAAAACCACAGAATTTTCTTCAATCTTCACTTTTGAATGACAAAAAGAGCCTGCAGCAAAAAAGATTACGAACCCGAAAATTTTTACAACCTGCACTATAAATTGCTGCATTTGCATCTAGAAAATAAATTACGAGCTGAAAATACATTTTATTCTACAAAACTACCAATAGCAAAGAATTNTATAATTTCATGCAAAATTTGGAAAATCAAGAACAACCCAAAAATGGAAACTTCAGCAGGATCAAATTCAAACATAAAAGGAATAACATCCCAGAAACAAAATTTGATATTGACATGTCTTTGACTAAAATTTACAGTTCTTCGATAATGACGTGAAGGAAAAAAAGTAAAAAATACATTTACAAACCTAACACATGCGAGGAAATGGAGAGGCATAATTGCATAAACCTATGCACGTTCAAGAAAATGGGAAAGAATAATTTGTTGATTAACTAATGAAATTTTTTAGCTTTTATGTTCTGGGCGTTTTTGGTTGGTTGGTCTTCCGTGTACCGTTGGTTTCTTGGAAGGTTGATAATCTATTAGTTACCCGTCAACCTCGGAGAAGCTCTGTATTTATAAATATATATTTCTTAAATATATATACTTTATCCCTAGTCATAACATTTTTTTTTTCATAACCGTGGATGTCCGGACCAACTTACGCGCACCTCGATTAATTTCACGGGATCCTGAAGTTTACGATCGGGTACTCACCTCAGTGACTCTGAGGGAACTCGAACTAATGACCATTGGTGAGCAAACCCAAAGCCTGACCAATTGAGTAACCCCTCAAGGTTTCTTAGTCATAACATGAATTAATTATTTCTTTTGGAAATCTTTTTATCCTTTTTATTGGATTGGAAATTCTTTGGTCATTTCCCTATTGGGTTAATTCCATATTCTGCATTTAATGTCACCTTTAATCAACCACATATTACTTAACAAAATATCCAATGCGGATGAATTGTTTGACGACGTGTCCAGTTAATACTTTAAAGGATATTGTGTAATTCGTTTGTTCGTGCAAAACCAACAAACGTACGGGATCGTTGAAGGGTAATAAAATTGATGAGTTAAGAGTTGTCGTCTCACGCAAATAAATTCAATTCAAATTTACTAGTTATGTATGAAATTCGAATTTTGTAAAGCAAATAGAGATTTTGATTTGATTTTATGCTAAATTATCTAAGAAAGCGGTAAAAAGTGTTTTATATCAAATTATGGATGACTGTATTGGATTTCAAATCCTCCTATTACTATCTATTTCAATTTTTTATTTGTAATCTAATTTCGTTCATACTTTTTTGACAATCGATAAAGTTATGATATATAATTTTCTTTTCCAAAACAAATTAAATATATCCTAACCACGACCTGAATCTATTCATAACCCGAATTCGAATGGTTAGAATGAATTAAAATTAAAATTATCTATATAATTGTATACGTGATAAATATTATTCTTAACATCTATTACATATATGTTAATTTTATCGCATTCTAAACTTATTGATTTCTTCAACTTCAACTTTAGGGATTTTGGATGAACTACGGGCTTCTGCCGGAGGAAGCTTCGTATCAGTGGTCTTCTGTGTGAAGAGTTTCGGCCTCTTCATTGATTTCTTATGTAGTGCTTCAGCTTACAGCCTTACAGTTTCAGCCATTCTAACAATGCTTTGGCCATTATTTGACTTATGTGCATTTGACCAACTGGATCTTTGTCGACTTTCATTTCCACGTAGACTGCAACGTGCCATTTTTACTGAAGCATCGGTGGCGAGGCTAAAAAATAGTCCATCAAGTCTAGACATGATTATTTATGTAATGCATGAACTTGTATGAATTTTTTTTTGGTTAGAGGTGGTTTTTACCCACTACATAAATAATGTGTCATTTTTTTATTTAAGCAATGTAATCTTGAAGTGATTTAATTAGAAATAAAGAAAAATGGCAAGCAAAGATTTAGGGAAAATTGCAGAAACGCTCCTAGAGTTGGCAGCGGGACGCATTTGGGGAGGGCCCCGCCTTAGACGGGCGGCGCGGGTGTGGGCATGCCATGTTTCCTGCCCCATTTTTTTTTTCAAAATTTTTTAGTTAAAATACAAATTCAAAATTTTAAAATTCAAAACAAATAATGCTCAAACTAATTATATCAATATTCGAAGCAAGCACTTGAAACAAACAATATCCGAAATTAAACATTTGTAGTTAATTAATTTTTTTTTATTCTTCACAGGACGGGGCAGGTTTTTTTTGCCATCACTAAGCGCTCCTTAACATTTTCAATTTTTACAGACTTTATTCTAAAATTTAATTTGTGTCAGTGGAGGTCCCAAAACTTTCATAAATATGCACCTGGAGTCCAACTGGATGGAAATCGTCTATGAAACCGTTAGTTGACCAAGAAAAAATGATTTTTGACCAATTTTGACCAAATTGAGAAAGATAAAATCGTAATTTTATATATTTGTAAATATTGAAAATTAAAATAATAAAACTAAAAAATATCTACCCAACACCCCCACCTCACCTCACCCCTCCCACCCTACCCTATCCTACCCCCGGATTCATATCAAGAAACCCACAAAAAAGAAATCCTACTTTTACTTTTTGAGATTTAAAAAATTTAGGGGTATTTAATGTAGACTTTTGGAAACTCTTTAAAAGTATTGATGTATTTAATTGAGAACTTTTTAGAAGTCTCTATGAGGCTTGAGATATTCAAATTTTTATGACTTTTAGAGACATTTATAAAAGTTTCCATGGTACTAACTTTTAAGCAGAAAGTACTAAAATAAAATCTCAAAATTTGTCTCTCATTAATCACAAGATTTTGAGAGACTTTCACATAAAACTAAAAAAGAAATTAATATGTATTTTTTTTTCTCAATATTTCTCTTTCTTTTTCCCTTCTATGACCATTGAGTTATGATTAAAATTTATTTTTTTGTATTGATTATATTAGTTTCTATTTTTCTTTTTTCTCTCTATTATTATTTATTTATATTTTCTATGAAAGAATTAAATTGAATTCTTATAACTTTTATTTTTCATTCATTTTTTTGAAAAATAAATTTTTTTAATTAAATTATAAAATTTTGTATAAACTAATTTATAATTAAATTTAAATATATATTATTTATTTTTTAAAGGTGTATTATGTTAATAATACTGTATATTTATTTTTTATATGTATGATTATTATTATTTATTTAATTAATGTCTTAAATTTTTATTCTTTTTAAAAAAAAATTTTATTATATGGGGGAAAAGAAAGGAGAATGGGAAATTGTATGAAGCATCATCTCATATGTGATAATTTCATAATATTCCACTAGATCCACATAAATTCTATCTCAAATGAAAGTTTTCAAAAGTTTTTTGAATTCTATAAAAGTTTCTAAAAGTTTTAAGATGAAAGTTTATAAAAGTCTACAAAAGACTTCCACTAATTCCATACAAATATCTAAAAAATCCATAAATCCCACATAAGTCATCAATAAAAAAAAGTTCATCATAATCTTCAAAAGTCCCAATTGAATACACCATCTGGGGGTTTAATATTTGTTCATTTCCAAGAATTAACAGAAAACTAACAAATAAACTGGAGAAAAAAACAAGAGTGAGAATTCAATGCACAACACAGAAACTGTTGCAAATACGGTTTAGCTAAAAGTAATTAAGGCTCAATGACACCCTATTGACAGGGTTTTAAAATGCCCCCACGTGCGTGGGTTTGTATTTGGAGTGAAAAAATAATGGTCACGTGGGGAGGGAAAAAATAGTGGTCACGTGAGAGAGAGAGACTACCACTTACAATTTAGCAGAAAATACGGGATGGAGGGTGTGGGGTTGAAGAACACAGAACCATATTTTTGAGGCAAAATTGATTTGAAAAACGTAGGGCTTGTTGCGCTTCAGCAGATTTACGGGATTGAGGGTGAGAAAAAGGGTTTGAAAATCTGGGCTTGCTGCGCTTCCCGGTCGACCCATTTCCACAATCGAAGCTGGTCTCCGGCTGAACTTACATTGTGTATTCACAGCTTTGAAGCCGCTCCTCGCCTTGTGCCAGTTGATGCAGTTGTAAGATTGGAGATATTGATTTTCCTCAAAAAATGCAGACGTGATGTGTGAAGAATGAAGATTTATGTCATAATTTAAGTCTAAATGCAGAATACTATTGTGGAATTGTTGATCATAAATCCCAGTAGCTCTAAAATTGCATCTTACTCTGTCCATTTCTTATTTTGAATACCAATAGTTTCTCTACTGTTGAGTAATGCTATAACTTTGAAGTAACGTTAATGTTCAGCTTTCAATGAAGCATAATCCTTTAGTTTTCTTGTTGCCCTTTTAGCAAAATGGGATGACAGTGAAGGTTCTTTATATATTGCCAAATAGAAGTTCAACTCAGTTTGTAAAATTGCACTAGAAAATTGCGCTAGAAGTTCAACTCAGCGTAGTGGTAATGTTATAGATTCAAAATTGTTATTTGATTGTTTTCTCCTCCGTATGGCTTCCAAAGTGTTACATTTCCAGTCACAAGGAAAATGTTCTGAGGGAGGCTGCAT